TTGTTAACCTCAAGTTTTTCCTCCTTAACCTCCCCTTTTCCCTTCTCTATGTATCTCCTTCTTCTTCCTATGGCTGAATAAAATGGAGTTTTGCAGAGCTTCTCTCACCTTGTTTGAGGGCTTGGTAGAAATGGGGGGTGTTTTGTTGATAGAGAATGCCTTTTTGGCATTTCTCTCAATCATAACATGGGAGAGGCCCCATCTCCTTTATTAGTTTTGGCTCCCAATCACTTCATGCCTATTCCCCCATATTATTGTGCAGCTCTCCTATACATTTGAGAGGCTGAATTCGTGGGGTGGCCCCCACTCATGTGGGAGGCCATCCCTTTATGACCCGACGTGTACAATCGGCTCCGAAAGTTGTATGTTTCGGACTGTTTTAATTATATTTTATTTTATCGGGTCAAATAAAATATATTATGTGTTTCCCATAATTATGGACTCTTAGGATGAATATACATTCCTCATCTTAAATTTAGAAGTCTCCGAAATCTGCTTCGATCTATTATCTGATAAATTACTGATACCGGTAATTGGGCCTCGTTTGACCGACGGGTCAACCCTATGCCCTTTCTATGGCCCAACTAAAATATCTACCACCATATACATATTATCTAGACCAAGATGAATATAATATGTGGTCTCGAGATTATCGGGTGGTCCCCGCTTCTGATGCGGGTCCCGCGTGCAATTTACTATTCACGCAAAAGAAATACCAAAAATTTTTACAACCTCGTAAATTCATAAATCATTATTCAAGGTTTATTACATGGTTTACTAAAAGTAAATATACTTGGGGGCGGTGTTACACCCGGAGTCGCAGAAGGTTCTTCGAAGGTAGAAGAGGGCAACGAGAAATTCCGGACAAATGAGGTGGGTTGCACCGTGCTTGTACTGGGCGCCATAGAAGGAGAAGGTATGGCCATGCGTACCGCCGTAGAAGACGAAGGAGTAACGGCAGTAGAAGAGCCGTCCTGGGAGTCAGCGATCATCATGGGAGAAGAGAGACGACGCGGAAGCTTAGGGTATAACCCAGGTCTCTGATACCATATGCAATATTATTTGTGGAATAATTGCTCACCTTAATAGGGTGTGCTCTATTATGGTTTTATCATTCTAGGTAAGCTCCTAACATGGTTTTATCATCACAAAACTCATATCAATACAAATAACCTCTAAAAGGTTATTTTCCGGCGAACCGGTCATTTTAGCTTCTAAGTCCGTTCTTGGACTTAGAACTACCTTTCAACCCCTCATTCTACACCTCTAAATATGTAGAACAACCCCAGGGGTGTGAAATATGATTACATAATCATTAAATAAGATTAAAGAAAAAGAAATGTGATTAATGGAGTCATGACCTTGTTAACCTCAAGTTTTTCCTCCTTAACCTCCCCTTTTCCCTTCTCTATGTATCTCCTTCTTCTTCCTATGGCTGAATAAAATGGAGTTTTGCGGAGCTTCTCTCACCTTGTTTGAGGGCTTGGTAGAAATGGGGGGTGTTTTGTTGATAGAGAATGCCTTTTTGGCATTTCTCTCAATCATAACATGGGAGAGGCCTCATCTCCTTTATTAGTTTTGGCTCCCAATCACTTCATGCCTATTCCCCCATATTATTGTGCAGCTCTCCTATACATTTGAGAGGCTGAATTCGTGGGGTGGCCCCCACTCATGTGGGAGGCCATCCCTTTATGACTCGACGTGTACAATCGGCTCCGAAAGTTGTATGTTTCGGACTGTTTTAATTATATTTTATTTTATCGGGTCAAATAAAATATATTATGTGTTTCCCATAATTATGGACTCTTAGGATGAATATACATTCCTCATCTTAAATTTAGAAGTCTCCGAAATCTGCTTCGATCTATTATCTGATAAATTACTGATACCGGTAATTGGGCCTCGTTTGACCGACGGGTCAACCCTATGCCCTTTCTATGGCCCAACTAAAATATCTACCACCATATACATACTATCTAGACCAAGATGAATATAATATGTGGTCCCGAGATTATCGGGTGGTCCCCGCTTCTGATGTGGGTCCCGCGTGCAATTTACTATTCACGCAAAAGAAATACCAAAAATTTTTACAACCTCGTAAATTCATAAATCATTATTCAAGGTTTATTACATGGTTTACTAAAAGTAAATATACTTTGGGGCGGTGTTACACCCGGAGTCGCAGAAGGTTCTTCGAAGGTAGAAGAGGGCAACGAGAAATTCCGGACAAATGAGGTGGGTTGCACCGTGCTTGTACTGGGCGCCATAGAAGGAGAAGGTATGGCCATGCGTACCGCCGTAGAAGACGAAGGAGTAACGGCAGTAGAAGAGCCGTCCTGGGAGTCAGCGATCATCATGGGAGAAGAGAGACGACGCGGAAGCTTAGGGTATAACCCAGGTCTCTGATACCATATGCAATATTATTTGTGGAATAATTGCTCACCTTAATAGGGTGTGCTAGGAATGTATTTATAATAAACCAAGAGTCAAATAATTACAAAGATGTCCCTATATTATGGGCTATTAGCTCTAGGCAGTAGACAACATGAGGCTAAAACAATGGAGGAGGTTTTAAGATGGGTTAAATCGGATCCAGGAGTAATAATTCAAATAAATGTGGATGGAGCATTAGATAACAGAAGCGGTAGAAGAGCGTGGCGGTGGGTAGTGAGAGATGAAGAGGGTAATTTATTAAGGGTGAATGGAATTCTTGTACGGCTGACTAGTCGGTGCTAATCACGGAGGCGATAGGTGTTAGAGAAGTGATCATTTGGGCAAAAGAGCAAGGGTGGCCACGAGTAGTTGTGGAAACAGATGCTTTGATTGTTTCATCGAGGATTGCGGACGGCACGGGGACTTTTATTTGGATCTTATTATTGAGGATATAAGACAACTTCTTCAAATTGAAGATAATTATTTTGTCAACTATTGTAAATGATCCGTGAATATACTTTAGCTAGGGCTGCTTTTTCATATGTGGATAGTGTTATTTTGGATACGATATCGAGTTGTATTTCTAGCCATTTGGTGAATGATTGCCTTGAGTAATAGAGATTTTGTTTTTGTTTAAAAAAAGAAATAAAAACACGCAGAGAACTCGAACTCAATTCGAATGAGACTTTATATGTTTCGACTCGAACTCGATATTTCAGTATTTAGCATGAATCGGTCTAAGTTGAAATCGAGCTCGAGCTGCTCAATTAACACTTTATCTCAATCATATTTTTGTGAATACTACGTAATTTTTCTTTAATACATAGTAGTATTTTAAAAATAATACGTCGTTCATATTCTATAATTTGCATTAAATTTTTAAAAATGGAAAAAGGTCAAATTAGGTCTTCTACTATTACAGAATCATTATATAAGGTCACGTACTCAATAAAGTGTCATATAAATACGTCTACTTATAAAAAGCAATTGTATGAGTCATGATAGAGTATATGGGTCCAGACCTCATGACCCACATACTCATAAGACTAAAAGGAAGCAAAACTGTCACCCAGAGGGTCCTCTGTCAGCCAGATGGTCCTTCATCAACCAAACTCAAACCAGTCCAGAATATGGTCCAGAAGCCAAGGAGCGCAACATGGTCTTCCGTCGGCCTGACACTCTGTCGGCCTGGCACCCTGTCGGCCAAAGGAACCGTCCAGAACTAGTTTCCATACTTAGTCATATTTACATACATGTATCCGCCCAGTAGAGGCTCCACATTGTAAATGGGCCTCCCAAACCTAAGACTTAGGAGCTCTGTCCATATTTTCCCTATAAATACCCCCTTTGGGGGTAGTTGCAAGGGGTTGAGTAATATTAATTGCACTCTCTCTAGCTCTCACTTCTCTCTAAACTAATTCTCTATCAAGTCATAACGACTCATTGAAAACCTCCTAATCCCGATTTTAGATTGCGTGTCGTTATTTTTGCCTTGTATTTAGGTCAACCCTGGCCAAATATTTCACGCATTCTTGAAATTTACTCCGAATTTTAAAAAGATTGTGAGTTGTATGCTAAAAGCGAGATTACGAAATTGTCAACAGGTCGTTAGGACTCATACTATTACTTTTTATAAGTAAATATATTTATATGACACCTTATTAAGTACATGATCTTATGTGACAATTTCATAATAGTAGAAGACCTCATTTAACCCTTTTCTTTATAAAAAATTACTACTCTCTTCACTTTAAAGGTAAAATGTTTACTTTAAGTCATAAGTCATACGGTATGTTTGGCACAACTGGTTGAAAATGTATTTTTATGAGTTTTTTTGTAACTGTTAGCTTTTAGTGACTGATAAGATCTTAAAAGAAAAAGGTAGTAGCTGTTTGATGAAAAGTTGACTGTTTGATTTAGTTCAGTTTGGTATACAAGCTGTTGGGACTAATTGATGCTAAAAGCTACAGACTTATCTGAGATGCTACTCACTGTAGTATCTCAAAAAAGATCTTTAATTCTTTTAGAAGTTCTTAAAAATTGACATGTCAAACATACATCTAAAAGCTTTCAAAGATTATTTAAATAGTACAAAAGTTAGAAGGAAATGACACTAACAAACATACCCATAATCATAACCATAGTCAAAGGATGATCAATATATTTTAGGTGACAACTCCGGTATCCATTTAAAAAATGGGGTACCGTACCTACCATTCATTTGATTGGTCCAAATAGGTATATCATTTTTAATTTAGACTTAAATAATCAACCGCAACACTTTCATTGGTCCATGTGGACAAATGTATGATACTTTATGGGTACCATATAATCTACTTATATTTTATATTCTATATTTGGAATGAACAATCGTAAAGGGATGATCACGAAATACTTGATCCGTATAAAGTGAGGCATCAATTGATTTCTCGTGGTGTATTTTCTTCAGCAAGCTTTGCATCCTGTTTTGACCTTCGCATTCCGATTTATGCTCGACGGTCGCCGTTCCCCTGTTCTGCTTATAAAACCCACCCCGCCCTTCACCATCCAATTCATTCTTTGCTTCTGCACTCTTTCTTGTGCAATCACAAAGAATCCTCACCAACAATAAATTAGATAAGTAAATCAATAAACAAAGATGGCCGCCCCTCGTCAGGTTCTTGCCTTTGCTCTCCTTTTCATCGCCCTTGCTGGGTCCGCCTCCGCCGCCGCCACCTCCCCAAGCAGCGCCCCCGCGTCCTCACCGCCAACTGCCGCACCCAAGAAAGCAGACACCGCGGCGCCGGCTAACAATGTAGCCACCCCATCGGAATCTCCTTCACTAACGCCCCCGCCGACGAAGGCAGACTCACCATCGTCAGCTGAGATCGCCCCCGAAACACCCGCTGGGTCGCCGGAGGAGGATCCTTCATCACCACCAACCCCTGACAGCGCGGCGCCTGCAGCTGAAGGCCCGTCCGATGCTCCTGACGCAAGCACCCCGGCGGAGGCACCCGGCGCAGATGACGACAACAGCGGTGCCGCCGTTGCTTCGAAGGTCTCCGCTGTTGTAGGACTCGCTGGCATCGCCGCATTCCTCTTTTGAATTGATCGATAAGAATATGTTGATACATGTATATACATATATGATCGATCGACGGGATATATAATTCATGTTTGATGTTCATTCGTTTGTTTTCTTCCTGATGTACGCATGCAGTGGAAGGTTGAAAGAATGAACCCAATTTATATTTTATCTTTTAACGACGTTTAGTTTTGAATAACTTTGATCCTTCACAAACGTTCAGTTCTCTTTGTACTCCCTCGGTTCACATTAATCTTTACACTTTTATTTCACAAATATTAAGAAAATAAAGTCGATTTTATTGTACATTACACTATTTGACATTGTTTGACACTGTTTGGTGTAGATTTGTAAGGCAAATAACAAGTGTAAAGTTTATTGCGGTACTGACAAAAATGGAAAGTGTAAAGATGATTGTGAACCGGAGGGAGTACATTATTTATGTTTGGGGTTTTGACACATTATCTCTCTTAATTGTAGCCGTTCACATTTGTCAACACACAAATTTATCTTTAATTACTTATTAGCTGGGAATTTTAAAAAAATTATATTTTGAAAATTTAAATAAGAGGAATTTAACAATATTTTTCAAAAACTTAATTTACAATACATCTGATGGAGTATATGACCCAGGGACCCCCGGCCCACATACTTCCTCTACTACAATCAGGCCCAACAGGCCCAAACGGGCCAAGCCCAGCAAAATGGAGCTCTAAGCAGCCCACAATACGCAAAAGGGTGCCTTCGACCCCATGGCCGAAGGCTACCAGTGACGGAATCGAGCTCAGAAACATTACAGGAGAACAAGGCTTGAAAACCAAGCCTTCGGCAACTGCAGTCCTCGGCAGGTAGGAGCCCTCGGTTAGAAGAGGCATCACAAGAGAACAAGGCTTGGTTTTCAAGCCTTCGGCACCTGCAGCCCTCGGCAGGTAAGAGCCCTCGGTTAGAAGAGCCTTCGTCCCAGCACCCTTCAGCCGAAGGCACCCACCTCGACAGAATATCCTCTTCACCGTACCAAGTACAAATGTCACATCCAACCACCGCATTTAATGCGGCCACATGCGAGTGACAATGTCACCCCCGGTCGAGGTGACCCCTCGACCACCAGAAAACTGACATGTGTCCTTATCTAGCATTTATTACTACTATAAATAGCACCCTTTTCCCCCCATTATAAACCACGCTTAATACATATCGAATACACACTCTCTCTCTTACTTATTTGCTCTGACTTCTCTCTAGTTATTCTCCGCAATAACCCCTCGGATAAGCTACCCCTCGGGTACACTATCCATCAACATCAATAAATAAAATTGATAGATAGTTAAATCGGGATACCACTGGCGGTATGTAAAGAGAAGGCAACTAAGTATAAAAGTAAAATATGCTAAGTGCATTAAATGCATGTACATGTGTAAGCTGATCTATGACGGAGAGCGCCGATGTGAGGCAGATGCGGGCACATAGCAGGGTATTAAATGTGGTGGTTTAGTGTTGGAAGTTGTCGACCCGAAAGTCTTCAGGACCGGAGGCATGGGCTTCTCCCCCGGGGCTAAAGGCAGGGTCGTCTAATGAATTTGGAGGTCCCGATTCCAAATAGCAAATTGAGGCCCCCTAAAACAAGGGAAAATACAAAATTTAACTATGGAATACAAATAGACTAGATATTTCAAAATAATATATGTTATATGATGTTTAAAATACACAAATTAGACAACATCAAAGTTATATACCTTTTGGAATCTTGAATAATACATAACATCTAGAAAATCAACTTATAACTAATACTACATACTAAATTCATGGAGACCCCCTAAAAGAATGGGCCCCGGTGCTAAGCACCTATTGCACCTCCTAAAAGATGGCCCGGGCTAAAGTCTCTTTTCCGGGGGCTCACACAAAGACATGGATGTTTTGGACTGCATATGTGGGATGGCCTTTCTGTGAGATGTCGTTTTTCATAGCCCTCGGTCTGGTATACGAGGCATGTGTTGTCGGGGCATGTTTGAAGTAATTGGATCTGCTGCGGAGGCATAAGTATGTGGATCGGGAGATCATGGGTCATATACGCCATATAAAATGTAGTCAAAATAGAGTACGGAATAGTGCAACATTCACCAATGTTGCAAATAACAAGAAACGAGGGTAGTATATTATTAAATTGAAAGTTTTGGACGAAAATATGACCAAGTTTAAGAGGTTTTAGAAATCTGACTTTTATCAAAAAATTACCCTTCTTATCAGTAACACTCAACGATCACCAGTAAGTCACTCACTACCTTCATTCGTCATTGACATGACCTCCACCGCTAATGAGAGTGATCTACCACTGCCAGTGACAATGACTTATCCAGCAATGACAGTTATTCGCCGTCGCCAGTGACAGTGACCCATTATCGCCATTGCCAGTGACAATGACTAGCCTCCCCCGACTCCTCCCCTGCTACCACCATAGACCAACCCATAAACTCTAACCGATGCCTCCCTACCACATCTCTGCAATGGCCACCCCCTTCAACCCCTATCATCCGCTATTGTCCCTTCTCCCTAACTACCTTAACCCTCCCACACATTGCCCCAACTCCTCCCCAACCTCTTTTTTTTGGATGAAATGTAAATTTATATTAACACCCAAAAGAATATACATCATGGGTTTTAGATCTCCTAAAACCCCCCCACCCCTACAAAATGTAGGGGTAAAAAGAGGTTTTTATTCGATCTAATACAATCCTCAAAAATAAAATCAAAGGGGGCCTAAGTATAGCATACCAAATGCCCCCCCCCCCCCCCCCCCCCCCCCCAAATCAAAAAGAATCGGTGCTGCATGGCGCACGCACACTGATCAACATCAAGTCCAATTGGTCAGGGAGGATAAAACTCACACTCCCTTAAACATACAAAAATCAAAAATCAAAATATGATGTAAGGCACATCAACTTGATCATCAATCGTCCATTAAGCCGCGGCTTGAAGTCTTGTAATGAACCTTTGTCTCTCAAAATTTGATCATCTCACGTGGGTATATGTTGAAGAGTATCTTATATACCACGTGTTTGATCTTCGCAATAAGTTCGTCCTCTTTTCTACAATTGCCATCAAATCGGTTTGCGTTCCTAGCTTGCCAAATGTGGTATAAAGTAGCACAAAAGGCAATCCGGACCGCTTTCCCTTTCAACTTTGATCCTTTATGCTCTTTTAAAATCCATTTGACCGAGCTCCAAATAGTAGTCATGTGATGCCTCAAGCCTAGCCAATTCTTCACTTGTTCCCAAATCCTACAAGAAAAAGGACACACAAAGAATAGGTGTGGCATTGTTTCCAATCCACCCTTGCATAAGTCACATCTATTAACAATGTGCAAATATTCAAGATTATCTTGGGTGGGTAGTCTATTTCGGAAAGCAAGCCAGACATTAAAGGAGAACTTAGGAGGGATATATGATTTCCAAATAAAACTCATCCAAGTCCTAGGTTCTCCTTTAACCCTTAAAAGATCATAGATCTTTCCCGAGACAAATTTCCCATTAATAGATCTAGCATTAAGTCCCATAATAGCATCATTAAGATTATTAAAACAACCCACAATTCGGTCCCGGATATGACTCAACTTCTTCATGAACATTGAGTCACGATTGTGTGGGATGAAATCCCACACACTCCTACCCTTGAGGTAGATCCCATTGACCCACCTAACCCATAACGTATCCTTTTTCCTATGAACATCCCAAAGTGTACGAGCAAGGAGGGCATGGTTCCAATTCTTAGCATTATGAATGCCAAGGCCCCCCTCCTCTCTTGGAAGGCAAACGTCCTCCCAGGCCACTTTAGAATATTTCCCACCCCATAAGAAGATACGGAAAATCGAGACAATCCTATCAAGGATGGTTTGGGGGACCGGGAAAACTTGGAGCCAAAAAGATTGTACCCCTTGGATAACCGATCTTATTAGCTCTAATTTTCCGGCATAGGAAAGGGTTTTAGTGTTCCATGCAACAAGAAAATCAGAAATGGAATCGATAAGCGGTGCATATTGTGCAACCGAGATCTTAAGTGGGGCAAGTGGGATTCCAAGGTATTTCACCGGGAATTGGCCACGCCCAAAGTCCACAAGGGCCATGATCTCCCTTAGATCGTTATCTTTAATTCCCCCCACAAAGATATTTGATTTATCATGGTTCACCATTAAGCCCGATGCATCACCAAATTCTTTAAGGGCATTGACCAAGATTTCAATTGAAAAAAAGTCGCCCCTAGAGAAAAGAATAAGATCATCTGCATAAGCTAGATGGGAAATGCCAAGTGACGCACATTGGGGATGGAAATTAAAGTTTGGCCCTTTGGTTCTCAAATTAAGCATACGCGAAAAATATTCCAAACACATCACAAAAAGCAAGGGAGACATAGGGTCTCCTTGTCTAATTCCCCTCTTTCCCTTGAAATGACCATATAACAACCCATTTAAGGATACCGAAAACGATGCGGTTGTTACACATTCCATGATCCAAGCAATAAATTTCTCCGGGAAGCCCAAACCCTGCAAAGCATTCTGAAGAAAATCCCATGAGATAGTGTCATAAGCCTTGCGCAAATCCACCTTGATCATACATCTAGGTGAGATTCGCTTCCTCATGTATCCTCTAACAAGTTCCTGGGCAAGGAAAATGTTATCAAACATGAGGCGGCCATCAACAAAGGCTCCTTGGGCTAGGTCAATCAAGCCCGGTAGGCATGGTATGAGTCTAGCGGCAAGAATCTTCGTAATGACTTTATACAACACATTAGTACAAGAAATCGGTCTAAAGTCTGAAACCTTTGGCGAGTGGGTCGTCTTGGGGATAAGTGCAATAACCGTATGGTTAATTTGCTTTAATAACTTTCCCGTACGAAAAAATTCCTTAGTAGCCTGTACTAAGTCATCCCCCACAAGGTTCCAATTAGATTTAAAGAACGCAGAAGAATAACCATCCGGCCCCGGCGCCTTGTCATCCCCAATATCAAAAAGTGCGGCTTTGATGTCTTTTACATCAATAGGGGAAATAAGGCTAGCATGAACACTAGGTTCAACTTTGGGGCCGGAATCCAAAATTCTAGGGTCAAATTGTTGGGTTTCCCCAACGGAGCCAAATAAGTCAACAAAAAAATTAACGAATTCATTACCAACTTGCTCCAATGAGGTGGTGAGACTCCCATCCTCAAGAGTGATAGCCGCTATGGTATTCTTCGTGGTTTTCCTCTTCACAATCGCATGAAAATACCTTGTCCCCTTATCCGCTTCAAGGATGTGAGTCGCCTTTGCCTTTTGTTGGAAAAAATTGCACTCGGCCTCACTAAGAAACCTAGCCCTCTTTGTAACTTCCTCCAATTGGCATTGGAGACTCTCATCCAATGGATGTTGTAGGACAAGCTTATGCAATCTTTTGAATTCTTCCTTCGCCATTTTAGCTTTGTTGGAGATATGCCCAAATTCCTTGGTGTTGAGGTTCTTAAGTGGCCTTTTGAGCAACTTTAGTTTCCTCACCATGGAAAATTGGGCCGTACCTTCAATCTCTTGATTCCAATGTTGCGCTACTAGATTAGCAAAATCATGATGTTTAATCCACATATTAAAAAATTTAAAAGGTTTAGGCCTTGGAGAGGAATTAAGGAGTATTGACACAACGGAAGCCGTATGGTCAAACTCCACCTCCATTTCATGGAAATGGGCCGTACACCTTATGCTATTAATGCCCCAAACATCATTTATCAATACCCGGTCAAGCTTGGCCCAAAGTGCACCTCTGTTCCACGTAAAGAACTCCCCCGTGGAGGGTGCATCTTGTAGGCTAGCCGCGACCTTAAAGTCAAACAGGTGTTGCATTACATACGCCGTAGGGGGGGTAGGACCCACCCTTTCGTTGGGCGTAGCAATGCAATTAAAATCACCACATATCAACCAAGGTTCATCAATAAGTTCTCCAACCAAGGTTAAATGATCCCACAAGTCCTTTCTTTCAAGGACTGTGTACAACGGATAGACAAACGTAGTCAAAAAAGTTGTTTGTGTGATACAACAAGTACATCTAGCATGCATAAATTGCTTGTCAATTTCCAAAAACACACAATTTATTAAAGTCGGGTTCCACATGATCACCATGCGTCCCCCACCAATTAGATCAAAATTATTCTTAAAAATCCAACCCGGCCATTTATTTAAAATATAATTATTTAGTGCGGCCAAGGTCATCTTAGATTCCAAAAAGCATACCAAACCAATATTATTTGAATTGATATAATAACCAATTAGATTGTGTTTAGAGGCCTTATTTAGGCCCCTAACGTTCCATACCAAAAACTTCGTCATCAAGTGAGGTAAAGGTCCGTGGTGGGTCCTCCACCCTCGGTTGCACTTTTCCTAGCACTTCTTCGTTCTCTTCTCAAAAGCTCCTTGTAGTAGGACACGTTGTTCTTGCTACTAGGATCAAAGAAGAAAAACACATTAGCAATAAAGATTTTGGAATCGAAGTCATACCATGTACCATTGCGTTTGACGCCCGGTAGCTCCAAGATGCCACTTTGGGTGAAGTAAACACCCGGGTCCTCTTCATTGGTGACCGGTTTGAGGTCAGCCCCCACCTTAACCAATGCCTCACCATCCGGTAGCTCGTCTAGATCAATGGTAGTGGCAAGTGGTCTTCCTTTCTCATCCATAAACACCCCGGTGACAATGTCTTTAGGATCCATCTCATGCACACTCCGGATCACATAGCCACGAGGTAGATTAGTCAACGCTTCCTTACCATTCTTATCTTTGGCAACCACCATAAGTTGGTGGCGTTCCATGGAGTATCTCACATTAGGCCGCGGCTTAAGGTTCAAAGATGGATCACGCAACTCCTTCGGAATGTTGACACCCATATTAGCCACCATGGGCACCTGTCGCATGGCCTTAGACGTTAATGCAACGTCAATAACCTGTTGAGGCTTGGCCTTGGCCTTACCCCTCTTGTGCGTGACCTCTTGGAATGGAGGATCATCATCCACGGCCTTACCTTTCCCTTTGCCCAACGGTGGTGCACCTTGGGCCTTGCCCACCTTGTCCACGACCTTGCTTAGGATCCCCTTGCCTCTCGCATTAGTTTTTGCCATTGTGTGTTTAAGGGGTGGCACGTGTGGGTGAAGCACCATACATTCAAACGGATTATGTCCAAAAGTTCTACAATGGTAGCAATACTCCGGATAAGTCTCATACTCCACCCGTTGGGTATACTCTTTGCCCGAAGGCGGAATAATAGGAAAGTCCTCAACCGGAGGCTTTGAGGCGTCAACCTCAATGAGTACCCGTGCATACTTGGTGAAAGTCTTGTCTTGGGTTACCTTATCGGTAGTGATAGGTACACCAATTTGAGAAGCTATCTTTCCAATCTCCGTTGCTCTCCAAAGTCTAAGATGTAGGTTCGGAAACTTCACCCAAGTAGGAACCTTCAAGAATTCTTCACTCTCAAAGTTAAAATCATCCGATAACACCTTTAGAAACATAGTTTTCCCAAACAAAAGATAGGGCCCCTCGGTAAGAACTTTGAGCCTATCCTCCTCGCATTTGAATTTGAAAACCACCCAACCTTTGCTATGGGACTTCACATCCACTCTCACGCCCCATTTCTTGACCATCTCGAAAATTGCCTTCATACCCGGAAACCGGCCGGAGAAATGCCCCACCAAACAGTACCCCCATATCTCAATTAGGGTGGGCACCTCAAGATGAGAAAAATCTAGTTTTTCCCCCGAGGGAGGGAAATATTCAAGCTTTAGGCCGTTTGAGGGGGCTCTATTGTCCCGGAATAGAGAAGCATAGGTGAACGGCTCTTTTTCAAAATCATCCCCATCAACAAGCGATTCTGTGTCTTGAGACCCAAGGGAGATGGATCCCTCATGTTCTTCTTGTGCAATAGGGCTGTTTTCATCAGAATTTTCAATAATGGGATCAGCCGTTACAATTTTGGTTTTGATTGCCAAAGACAGCTCATTAGATGCCGCGGCGTTAGAGGAGCTGGAATCCTGCCCCAGGAGTTTCTCTGCAAAGGACCCCCCTGATGCGATGCCCTTCGCGGATGCCGCAGCATAACCTTGATGTCCACCCGAAGCCCCGGATGCCGCGACATATTCATGTTGCCCCCTTGTCGCCCCGGATGCCGCGGCATGAGTTGAAGCCCCACCCGGATGTCCACCTGTAGCCCCGGATGCCAAACCTTGTTGTCCCTCTGTAGCCCCGGATGCCGCGGCATAGGTTGAGGTCGCACCCAAACAAGACACTGATGGCTTTCGTGCCGCGGCAAAGGCACCTGAAGAGTTAGAAAATATAGGGTCCGAAGAAGGGATACCCTCCTTCATAGCAGCGTTTTTCTTCAGCTTCCCCTCTTCTATTGCAACTTTCTTGGCCAAGATTTCCCGCACCTTATCATCAAACTGTTTGTCTTTGAGAGGTGGGGTCCGGTTCTGTTTGTTCCTCTTGGTCATGGCAGAAGCTCCACGAAGAAGACGATGAACAGTACCATCCAAAAATCAAAGTGCTCAGAAAAATCCCAAAATATAGTATGTTGATCTCCTCAAGCTGGCGATCACCACTATGTATTTTGTTTCTGTCCAGGACCTACAAAACTTGCAGAAAAAATTAGTAACTAATACATACCTGCGGCCATGTACAGTAGCTTCGAAATTTTTTCCAGCTTTATAGGTAGCAAAACCGGTGCCAAAATGACCGTCTCAACCAGGCGACCTCCAGAGTGTGCTCAGAATTTTGATTGGACGTCGGAGGCGGCCGGAAACTGTAAAACAGTCCCCGCCGGTGAACAGTAACCGCGCCCAACGGCTACTTCGTTTCTCCGGTACGGCGGCGCCCCCAGGTGACCGGCGAAGTACGGGGAGGTGCGCCAGGTGATGGCGAACCCCAATCAAGTCTCCTTACACGAATCCAATCAGTAGATTTTGAGTTATGATCAAAACAAAAATTCTGGTTTTTGAAATTTTTGAACAGTAAATCTGCGAACTCAAGTTTGGTTTTTTGGCTTCAAATCGTTCAAAAAACACCAACAAACACAAACCAAGTGTGGATTATGTTGTTATGATGATTCCGAGCAAGAAGAAACAACAAAACTCAAGTTTCAATAGTGGGAAGTAGGAGCAATGGTAGTTCGGGTGTAATATTCCTAGAGAGAAGGCAGAGAATTCTCAACGCCGAACTACTGAGAGCTCTTTTCCTCCCCAACCTCTAAGTAGAAGAGAGGTTGAAACACTTCTAAAAGGCGGCCAAAGGCGCCGCTAAGGCGGGCCTAGGCGTGAGGCACCAATAAAACGCCTCGCATACTTGCTATGCGCGGCACAAGGCGGTGTAGGTCAATCTTAGTCCCCGTTTATCAGCCACATGAATGTAACGGTTGAGAACTCTCAAGACAAAGGCACTGCCTTAAGGATTGAAAGGGAGATGGATAATTATATAGGCGTTTGTGATGATGAATTATGTTTTGCATCCGGTGTGGGATATATAGTGAACGGGAAAGCCACGTCCAATTCTCAGCTGCAACTACTATAATACGAAGTACTACTATAAAGTATGGAGTACTATGACTCTATTTTTGCCTATATCGACCAAAGGTTAAATCACCACTCCACACTTTATTTCATTATTAGTTATTATTATCTTCTACAATGATTATAATTTGAAGGGAAAATGTGTGACGTTGAACACCCAAAATCATCATCGCACCTTGTGGATCGTTGCGCCACACACTTCGATTGCAACTGCAGGATGACAGATTACTGGCACCGCATACCCGCGACCCAACACACTTTATTATTTTTATTAATTTAAGAGCCGTGTTCAGCTTATCAGCCTTATCAACCAACTTTTTTATCCAATATGTAATTTTTATTTCACGCACTGAATTGTATAATAATCAAAACCAGTAAGGTTGAAGTTACTATTCCAGTTCAATTGACTAAAAGTTATTAAAGAGGACCATTTTGATTATTCAGTGTTACCAAATCAACTATAATATTTATAGTTTAACTAATTTCTCCAATTCTAGTTTTTTTTCTCTCTCTTTTTTTCTTTTTCTCCAATTCTAGTTTTTGTATAATAAGTAAATTTATATGTGTTGGATTTAGGACTATAATTCTTTCTTGTTGCCATTTAGAAAAGTATGATGTTTTAAAAAAACTATTTAATATTAAATTTAAATATTTTAAAATAGTTCAAGGAAAATTAAAATAAATGATAAAATATCAAAACGTCTTTTCACGCCTTAGCCCCGCTTAAACCCGCCTAGACTTCAAAGGCTTAAGGCTTGACGATGCCGCCTTGACACGTCTTACGCCTTTTAGAACATTGCCTCCAAGTTGTAAATACTTCTATATTATGTAATAGTTCACTTCAAAACCTTTATACTTTTTGAAGAGTATGGGCTAACACCTATTGTACTTCATTTTTTACTTCAAGCATTTCCTTCATTTTGAAGGACAAACTAGCACAATCAATATCCATTTAATGTTATCCTTATATGATGTGCAAGTCAGCATTGAAGAACATTTATGAGATGGATGTGGTATTATTTTGCAACGAGGCTTTCCAGCTGATGTTTGGAGTATCAACTTATCTTGTAGTTTTCGTTTCTAATTACATACATGCTTTTATAGAGTTTTTGTCAATTTTAGTCCTTTGACTATTATGTCTCTGCCACTTTTGGCACTTAATAAGTTCGTATTACAACACGCATTTGATACATGTCGGGATCGGCTTTTGATGGTTTTCCTAGCTTTAAGGTGTTATAAGTCTCAATTTTAGCTCAAGTTATGTTTACCGAGCATTGGTTCAAGTTTTGTGTTCTTTGGAGTCAAAAATCAGGAAATTAGAGTCTGGCACCGGCGCTTGAGTAGCAATCGGGATGAGTTGATAATGCATTAGAGAGAGAATTGAGAACTTTGGAGGTCACTAAGAGGTTCATGATTAGGATTTGAAGATAAAAGAGCTATAGCATTGGCTACGGGATCAAAAGAAGACGAATAGAGCTTGAAAACGACGATTGTATGTTTGTATTTTTAACTAGTTTTTATTAGTTCTAGTTGTGGAAATTACACACTTTTGGTGTGATACTTTATTTTCATATTTATTTGTAAATTGTTAGGATTAGGACTTTTCTGAGCTAAACAGATCAAAGATCATCCAAAGGATCAAGATTGGACCTCAAAAGATCAAGGAAAATGCAAGGAGGCAAGAAAGATTTCGATTTGGATAAAATACTCTTATACCCGGTCGGGTATAAGCAATACCCGATCGGATATTTGCTTGATTCGATTGTCCAAATCAAATCCGAGGACAAATGAACGTGGGGGCAAGATTTCGTAAAAGATTTGTCACATACCCGATCGGGTATGCCCAGAAAAGTGACTTTCTGGGAAATTTCCTAAGATACCTGATCGGATATCCTATATACCCGGTCGGGTATCAGACCCTTCAGCTCCCAAAGCCTATAAATACACACATTTCCTTCACAATAAAATCATCAATTCCTTTATACTTCTAAGCTCAGTCTAGATTAGTTCTTTCTTTATATTTTTATCAAGATTAGTCTCCAAATGAGGAGCTAAACTCTTCTGTCTTGGTTTTGCTACTTTGAAGCTTAATGAATTGTAAGTTGTGAGTTATTTTCTTTAATCTTCTTCCTTGAATATTAATTATTAGTTCTTTCCTTAATACTATCTCTAATTAATGTTGGGGAGTGCTGCTAAGATGACAATTAGTTAACATCTTGATATTAGTTATAGTAGTATTTTCTTCCTCTATATTAATGTTGAGGAGTGTTGCTAAGATGACAATTAGTTAACATCTTGATATTAATTATAGTAGGATTCATCTTCTTTAATAATATTCTTCCTTGAATATTAATTAATTCCTATTCATATTTCATATTAATATTTTGAGCATTACTTAAAGGATCAACTAGTTTTGTTTCATATATTAATTATTACTAGAATCAATCGATTAATATGCTTGTTATTAATTCGGTTCGTTCAACAGTAGTAAACTTGGATTATTAATGCATGCGTCTCATGGTTAATAATCTAAGGGCAATTAATTATATTGATTAAACCAATAAACCGCTTGTGTTGAGGTTATCAATCTCAATCGTTTTCATCTTAAGTTTATTGCTACTATCGGGTTAATATACGCGTTATCAATCCAATCAATCTCAATGTGTTCTATATTGACTCGGTAGTAAGTTTTATTAATGAACGCGTTTCTTTGTTAATAGCTACCCTCGATGAATTGGATATACTCCTCGGTTGAGTATTCGAGAGGAAGATAGTTAAAGATATAACCGGGATCGACGAACATTTCATTAAGTGGATAAAAGCAAAACCAAATATTTATCTCTATTAATTAAACTTATATAAGTCGTTCATCTTAGTGTTAATTAAATTAAATCAAAACAAATCTAAAACCCCCCTTGTTACTGGAATTTAATTAAAAAGAAAAGTATTCCTTTCTGTGTGGATACGAACATTACTACACTATACTACGTATAAGTGTTGTATTGTAATTATTATTTTGAAGTGCACACCACGACAAAGTGCTTGTCAAATTTGGCGCCGTTGGCGAGGAAAGACAATTATTTTTCTTTTTATTTTATTTCAAAAAATATATAAAAAATATATAAAAAAAATAGTTTTCTATTTTCTGAGCTTACATGAGTATATGGATACCAACACATCATCCTTAGAGAGTCAAATTTCCGTTTTGGCTTCTCTCATAAAGGAGTTTATCTTAAGCTCAGAAACTCAAGATGCCAAGACCTGCAATATTTGCGTGTCTCACAGGCATACGTTGCACAAATTGATTATGTACCTCACATGAGGTATGATCCATTCTCCAACTCTAACATGTCTACGGAGGACATGGTTCGGGTTATGGCTACCAACATGAGACCACCATGCAAAACAACGTGGTCCAATTCCAAAATGAGACCAAGTCTAACATTTCAAACTTGGAAACTCAAGTGAGTCAAATAGTCGGAGCCGTGAGTAGGCTTGAAACAAGGGATTCGGGAAAGCTTCTCTCTCAAATAGAATGTGATCCTAAACAGCAAACTTTTGCAATCACATTGACAAATGAGAAGGAAATGCAAAAGGAGATCCAAAATTCAGAAGAAGTAGAAGAAGAAAGAGACACGGAGCTCGAGCTGGTCAAAGAAGAGGATGAACCGTGTTTCAAGGTCAAATATCTATCCTTATCATTCTTTGAGGTACCCCCAATAGTTCTAAAAACTTTGAGGGAAACTCATAAAATTGAAAAGGATAAAGATATTTTTGAAATCTTCACCAAAATTGAGAGATCAAAACATTTTCCATTGATCATGTTAATCGATAATTTCTTTCCCATACTCTCACCACATGAATCGATGAAAATCTTGATATTTGATCCTGGAAAGATCTTCGAAGTGAAGGGTCAAAATAATCATCATTATCCAAGCTTGAACGATTGAACACAATGATGGCGTCGTGCCGCGACGTTAAACGAGTCACTTCTTGGGAGGCAACCCAAGCAAAGATATGTAGTTTTTCATTCTTGTTTTTGTTTTTGTTTTTGAATGTCAACTTTGAGAGAATGGGAAACAAATCTCCAAAGAAAGGGGGAGAAAAAAAAAAGAGTTTTGAAAGCTTGGGGAAACCTTCGATCAGGCATAATCACTTACCCGGTCGGATCCTTGCCAAAAAAAATGAACGAAATCAAGCTCTAGGGTGAAGTACCCGATCGGGTAACAACACCCCACCCGGTCGGGTATATCAGAGAAATGCCAGATTTGGATCGAGTACTCTATACTCGATCGGGGTAGGAATATATATATATATATATATTCTTATTTCTGATGCACTTTTTTGCTATAGAGAAATGCCAGACTCGGTTGGGTTCTAATGAGAAGACATCTTAACGTGAGAAGTGAGAAGTTACACATTTACCTATTTCTGATGCACTTTTTTGCTAATCTGATGCACTTTTTGTGATGGCAGAAAAGTTCCGATTAATTACGGAAATGCCACCGCGTCTTGCATCACCTTTTTAATCTTTTTTGCACTTTCCCATGCACTTTTTTGCTAATCTGATGCACAGATCTTAAATTGAACGCACAAGATGCATTCTCACTTCTTACGATAAGCACTCTTCTCATTTGATCCTTATTCTATATATATAAACGGATATCCGATCGGGTATATTAATTTACCCGGTTGAGTATATTTTAAGAAATCCTATGGCGAAGAAAATCCGGTCGAGTACACCCCATACTCGACCGGGTACACAACCCTAGAGCCATTTTTGAAAATCCGACTTGATACCCGATCGGGTACATTAATATGCCCGGTCGGGTATATTTACGGGCAATCCTGCGGCGAAGAAGATTTGATCGAGTATCACCCCTACTCGATCGAGCCCGATCCCG